AAATAAATCTGGTTTAAGAAACACAATACAGAAGATTAAAATAGAGTTCAATGTGAAAAATAATCTCTCAGACTGTTGGTAACTCCAAATCTGCATTAGAATGGTAGTCAAATGCCCAGTTTGTAAATCTTATCCTCCAAGTAGAGGATATAATATAGCCTCCTTCTAAAATTTAATTTTTCACACTTCTAAACTGAAACAAATATATCTTGGACTTCTCCTACAGTAGTTATAATGATAGCTGAGAATTTCTATCCCTGTCCCCATACCCACTACCAAAATATTGACATTGCCCACATTCTTTACTGGAAGCCTGAGAAAAATTCCATGGAGAGATTCAAGGGTGGAGGTGTACCACTCCGAAAGGTGAGGATCAGTTATCCTGCTTAATACTACACTTAAAACATGACAAACCAGGGGCCATTATTCTAGTTTTCTGTGCCCAGGATGGCAGTGAAACAGCTCTGGTCTAAACGCTAGGAAGAGCCTCAGTTAAAATAGAGAAAACCATCAGCCTGGGAAGTGATGTAAAGTTAATGCAAAAAGCAGGCATTGAAAATAATCATACTCATTATAAGAAAAGCCATTCTCAAGGAAACATAAGAGCAAAGAAATTAACCAAATGGAACCATAAATTTTCCTGAACCACATCAATTTACTAAACCTATACTTGACATCTCTTTTGAAAAAGGGCAGGTGAATATGAAATTTAAAAAAAAAAAGAAAACTGGTTTCCTGAGTCTTGAAATATTGTGCTTTGAGTGACAGTTGGTAAAGAGCTGAACCCTATCTTTGTAAAATCACCTTGAACAAATGTGGACTGTCATAGAATGCTTTCCTGTTCCAAAAACAGTTAAACGAAACAAAACCAAAACAGCAGGCTATCCTCTAGAGTTGTCCATTTTCCTCAGCTGCCTAAGAGCAGCCTCTCTCTAAAGAAAAGACCCTGCTCACAAAAACAAGTTCACTGCCACAGTCAACTTGAGAGTGACAATGTCCAAAGAGAAAGCATTGGGATATTAGTATGTGACATGGTCCTGTGGCCAGCCTGGATCAGGCAGTCACACAATTGTCTCACACAGCACTTTTCCAAAAGACCAAGAAAACCAGATGGAGGACATTAAAAGTGCATACAGTACATACAAGACTGTGCCAAGCTAAGGCTAGTTCATTTGTTCCCACTCTCTGTCTTGGTACCCAGGTACAACCAGAGTCACCTTATGACTACAACAACAAAAACAAGTACTAGTCTGTATTAAATGCTCAGTGGTGCATAAGAAAAAAGTCCTGGTGAAACAGTAGTTAGGCACTTAGCTGCTAATTGAAAGGTTGATAGTTCAAATCCACCAACCAACCCACTGGAGAAAGATGTGGCAACATGTTTCCATAAAGATTACAGCCTTGTAAACCCTATGGGACAATTCTACTCTGCCCTGTAAGGTTACTATGAGTTGAAATTGTGTGTTATTTTTTGTTGTTGTTTTTTGGCGCCCAGGATAGTTTCATGGAAATTAAAGGGTCACCTCATAATACACAGAAGCACATCAATCCCTAAATACTATTACCAATTATCTCCCAGAAGGAGGAATAAAGAAGTGTGGGGGACGAAAAAGATTAAAAAGAAAAAACAGAAACAGGAAGAAAGAAGGGAAGGTAAAAGAGAGCAGCAAGAACAGATGGTCACAAGTCTTGCGCACCTGCCTCGCCATGGCTTTTTATTGTTATACTTGTTAAGTGCTGTGTAGTCAATTCTGGCTCATAGTGATCCTCTAGGATAGAGTACATCTGTCTCATAAGGTTTACAAGAATGTAATCTTTATAGGAGCAGATTGCCAGGTCTTTTCTCCCACTGGTAGGTTCAAACTGCTGACCTTTCATTTAGTTGCCTAGTGCTTGACCATTGTGCCACCAGGGATCCTTGGCTTATTATTACTGGAAAGTTAATCTCATGTTCATGCCAGGTATACAAGTCACTTAGCACCTCAAATTCAATATGCCATGTATGGAAATTTTATTTAGATATTTAAGCTGCATATCTGGGTCAGGGAACAAATATCCATTCATTCCTCTATTTTCTCAACTACTTCCAATGAATATTTATGTTTGTGAGGACAAAAAATGAAAGTAGGTCTGAAGACGTACCTGCAGCATAATCTAATTTCATGTATAGAATATCTAGATATATGTACAGTAAAAAGCTCTGGAAGGGTATATATGCTGTTTCAGTTCTGTGCTTCTTTTCACAGCTACCACAGTCCTTTATAGAATTCTATTTGTAGCCTTTCATCCTTTCATTCTGTACCTTCTCTCTGGAGGACTACATCCATTCCCATGTCCTCGATTTCAAATCCTTTTTGCAGACCAGACTTCTACTCTGAGTTCTAGTTAGTGCATTCAAGTGATAACAGTGTGTCCCTATCGCAATGTCTCCACAAGCACTTCAAACTCAATTTATTTTGTTGTTGATTATTGTTGTTGTTGACTTGTGAGTTAGGAGACCCCATGTGTTACAGAGTAGAACTACTCCACAGGGTTTTGTTGGCTTTAATATTGATGGAAGCAGATCAATAGGCCTGCTTCCTCCTTAGTGCCACTGGGTGGGTTCAAACTGCCAACCAGAAAACCACTTGTGCCACCTAGGGACCTTACAAACACAATTCCCTTCTAAATCTGCCTCTTCCACCTAACAACTGGAGCAAGGAAAATGTTCATTCTCTTTCCCCTCACTTCATCCTTAAAACTAGTATCAAGTGAGTCCCCACTTGTGCAGGATTCAGTAAGGTCACCATATTCAATAGATTTCAACCAAGCTGTTTCTGATCCCTTTGTCTACTACAAACATTCATGTGAGTATCTTGAGACCTGGGGCTAAAACTAATACTGAACTAAACAGAAGATTTTACTCTCTCTTGGCCTTATAAAATAATGGAAGGTAACCACCATCTGGTTTTCCAAACCAACTAGGATTGTATTGTGGAGGTTGGTGACATCATGTCTGAGGAAACACTTTGACTTCTTAAAAAAGAACAAACACCTTATTCTTTTGAAAAATTATTTTAAAGGTTGCCTTGCAGGAATGACAGAACTCTACAAAGTAGTCACTTAATAAATGCTAACCTTTATTATTATTATTATTATTTTATTAAATGACACCGAGACAAGGCAGAATACCCCAGCAAAGCAAAGGTCAACCAAAAACTACCAACACTTCATTCTAAGAAATCAAAGATGTTCATTTTTTCCCCCCTATGTTCCAGAACACTTCAAGTTCTTTGCATTTATTACTTCATTTGATCCTCATGACAAGACCCATATTCTCCACTCACCTCTCATTTCAGAGAGGAAGCTTCAATCCCAATGATTTTTAAATCTATTTTTTTTTCCCACTTGGCACATGTTCCAATCAATCACCTGTTTTATTAACATTTTTTTCTTTTTCCAAAACTTTCCAAAAAATCACTAATGAACCACACGAACTCCAGTGTCTACGATCCTGAGATCAGAAAAACTAGATGGTGCCCGGCTACCACTGCCAACTGCTCTGAAATGGATCACAACAGGAGGTCCTACATAGAGTGGGAGGAAAATGTGTAACAAAACTCAACATCATAGAAAGATCAGATTTATTGGTTGATATAGACTGTTGGAACCCCAAATTCTATGGCTGTGCTTGGAACTAAACTCACACCCATAACTCAACTTTCAGCCAAACAATAGACAGACCTATAAGGTGAACAATAACAGCAGGGCAGTGCACACACCTTAGATCAATCACATGACATCATTTGCCCAGGAATAAGTCTCAGAAGACAGTAAGGGATAGGAAAGAATGATAAATAAAAATGTCAAATACAGGGAAGAAGTGGGAAGAGTGCTGTTACATTGTGGGGGTTGCAATCACAATCACGAAACAAAACGTGTATGAAGTTTTGAATGAAAAACTAGTATGCTTATAAACTTTCACCCAAAGCAAAATAAAAAAACTTTTTTTAAATGTTCATAATAAATAAGAACACATAGATGAATAAAAGGTAAAAAAAAAAAAAAAAAACCTCATTATTCTTCTACCCAAAGATAAGACTGGACATATATATTTCCAGAGTTTGTAATGTCTATTTAAGCATGTTTTATTATTCTAAAAAGACAGTGGAGTCATACTGCTACCTAACCTACTTTTCTCACTTGATAATGCATGGTGGTTGTTCCATCCTGGCAATATGGATTGCCAACGACTTATTTATCACATTACACTGTGTGAGCATGCCATAATTTACTTAACCAACCCAGTGTATTAGACACTTAAGTTGATTCCAGGTTTTACTATTTTAGATAGCACTGGGGTGAACAGCATTGTGCATAGATTCTTTGGCCAATTATTCAGTTGTTTACTTAGGACAAATTCTTGTAACTCAAAGGTTTACATATTTAAAGTTTATAGTATGTGTTACCAAATGGACCCCTACAAACCTAGTGCCAGAGTTTGAAAGTGTTCATTTTGCCACATCTTCACCAATACTGCACCATAGGGGAGAAGGATTTTTACATGGATCCCAAATATTCTCTCTAGTCAAAGATATTTCATGGCTCTCAGCGCTCAGCGAAGTAATATTCACACAGCTTTCTAGACACTGGTCTCACCTAGCTCTCCAAATGTATGGCCTACTCCCATTTCCCACTCTCTCCATTGTAGGCAGATTGGTGTTCTCACTGGAACAGTGTTCCTACCACTGTGCTTTACTCACACTCTATTTCATCAATTGCCCTAACAACTCTACCCCATTCAGGACCCATTTTGAATGGCTGCTCCTTCATGAAGCTTTAGCTGACTACAAGTCACCTATAGAAACCTTGGTTTCCTCTGTGTTCTGAGAGGGCACATTTGACAATGAACATATGTTCAAGCTATTCTGCTATCTTTTTGTTTGATGTTTCTTATTTCTCCAACTAGATTATAAACTGAAAAATGAAGATGGTTTCTTTCATTCTTCCCCCTTCTCCCATTTCTTTCTTGAATTAACACACAATTTTATTGATGCAACACAAATGACGTCAATGCAAATGACAGAAAGGAGCTCACTTATGATTGGTTCACTGTCACTTACGCAGAGAAAATAATAAAAATATTTCAATCTAGGCAGCAAGATAAAAAGCAACAAACATGTTTTCAGAATAAGTATAACATTCATTCATCCAGCTTAAACCTGCAGACCAACTTGGAAAGGATCAGCATTGATGAGACAATATGATATTCATTATTCAAAATTGGCAGCTGAAAGGATTCCTTTATCATATAAACAAGGTGGAGAAAAGGAATAGTTTACAATATATATTGCTTTTAGACTGCAAAATCAAGCAGTTATTCCTGGCTCTTTGGGAACATATGCTCAGCCAGTTTAGCCATGAATTTCCCAACTTTTACTTTCACCAAAAAATCGTGGTGACTTTCTATTCCCAGAACCTTATCAGCACATACTTGAAATTCCTTTAAAAAGAAAAAAAGTGAACCTTCACTGAAATGATTCTGAGTGGGTTCATTTTCTTCCCATTTAAAATTGTCATTTATATTCTCAAATATGATCAAAAGTTTAAGAATTATCTCTTTGTTCTCTTTCTTATTAAAGAGAGAACCCAGTGAAGATGGTATTTGGGCCCTGAGCAGTTCTCTAGCCATGGCTGGATTTTCAGCCAAATTCAAAAGGAGTTTCAAAACCTGAAGCTTGGTTTCTTCGTTTCCTGCTGAAAATAAACGAAAAAAGTCTGAAATGGAATTAGCAAGCATGTGCTGATGCTCATTAGTAACAGTCATATTTGTAAGCAGTCTTAGTCCAGCCAGCTGCACAGATGAGTTCAAGCGAGACGTGACTGTGTCGTCACACACTTGATTCATGTATATCTTAAGCCTGCGCTGATTTTCCGCATTCACACTCAAGTTATTCAGAACAATTAAAGCTTTTTCTTTAACTATGGGATCCCGGGTATTGAGAATCATTGCAACAATTGGGAGACCACCCAGATCCCGAATAATATCTCTGTTAAATGCATAAGCAGCATTGTTACCCAGAGCAATTAAAGCTGCTTCAAGTATATAAGGCTTTTCAGACATCTCAACCAAGCAAAGAACTTTTTGCAGCTCTAGAGGGGACAAAATAGTATCATCTGAATTTGGAGAAGCCCGTTTCTGGACAGCCCGATGTGCCCTGGTGGCCCTGGCCCTGGCCCTGGCCCTAGCTCTGGTCCCGGCCTCAGTGCCAATCCGAGCCCAAGGTGGGTACCATACAATACTCTTGTTGTCATTGTTGTCATCATCATCATCAGACCAGTCATTGTACCTGCCCCCAGAACAGTCACCAGTATCATCCATATCACCAGGCCCACCCGCCGCCATTTTCTCCTTGTTCTGTTTTCTTCCCCTGGTCAGTCTATAAATGCAATAGCAGGCGCCAGCCCCGATCACCAGTCCCGCAGTCACCCAGCCTACTTTCCTAGCGTAGCCCATGCAATCGTCCCTGACAATAGCAGGGACCAAGGAACAGAGTAGTCAGTCAGGCTCGGGGAGGATGGCTGTGGGCCTGGATTTAGGCCTGTGGAGGGTGGTGGTCTGCAGACACTTCAAGGCCACAACAGCTGATACTGGAGGTGAACCTAAGGGTGGAGGAATGAAATAGGATTTAAGTTTCTCTTCTCTTTGTGTCCCACCCAGACCCCACCCACCCCCAACTCTCAGAGAGTTGCACAGAGGGACAGAAAAGTAGTAATTGAGGGTTTGGTGTGAAGGGTAGATTGCTAAACTCAGTTCACCCTCTTCCAAAACCTCCCCAAATTCATTCCTACCCAGGGCCAAGATAAAAGCAACTGAGCCTAGAGACTCTGCTAGGGCCTCAGCTATCCCAACGTCCCCAGGGAGTAAGCACCCTTTCACTAACCTGAGGTTAGTGCCACGCCCAACAACCCTTTGGATCTGCAGAGACCAGAGTCAGTTAAGGCTGAGGACTCCATGGACAGACTAGTCCCTGTTCCTGTGTCGGTTTTCCTGATTCAAAATCTGTTCCTGTGTCGGTTTTCCTGATTCAAAATCTGATTGTTACGATGTGTATATCTATATATCATATGTATATATCGCGCTCTCTATTCCATCCAAAATACGGCCATGACTGCCCCTCCCCCTTAGGCTGAAATGCGTGGGATGTAAGGAAAATAAGGCAGGAGTGGAAGAGTTGACAAAAGCTCCGCTGATCTCCAACCCTCCCCCAATCCAGGCAGCCCCTACACCCACACCGACCTGGACCGATGGGAGAAACTTCTCCCTCCTTTCAAGTGGTGCCACCTGCTACAGCAGACCTGCAGGATGACAGATCGAAAACATGGAGACTAACTGTTGGATGAGAGAGGAGGATTATAAACAAACTATCTGATAGGTTTCCCTCCTCTCACCCCCTCCCCCTCCCCAATGCACGCCATTTCCCCACAGTCCTGGGAGTGCGCGAAACACACTCAGACTCAGACCTGAACCTAGATCACCATCTCTGGTTTTCTCTCACCCCCACACTCGCCCCTCCTGAGGCCCCCAGATGCCTTACCCTCAAATCGACCTTCACCGATCTGGTTAATTTCTTTCCTCTTCTCTTGCCTGGCGATGTGCAGCAACCTACGAGAAGACTGGCCACCCGAGAGAGTACTGGACCCACTAAACACAGAGCTTTGGTCAGGAAGCCACAGCCACAGGCAGAAAGACGGGAAACAGCCTTTACTGAGTGCCTGGTGGACGTACCGGTCCCCAGAACAAGAAACTCTTTCCTAATTCGGAGACACGGTTACCAAAGATTTTCCCACCCTTATTACCTCTCTCGGAGCTCTGCTAACACCCCACTTTGCACCTCACCCACTCCCCATGCCCAGTTTTACCCTCCGGTACTGTCCTAATGGGAGCCAACACCCAGGCCACGGCTCTCTTTCCGGATTGCGGGCCTCTTCTTGTAGCAGAGTCCCACCGCAGGATCTCTGGCCTCCACCCAAACACGCCCCTGCTCACCGTTTCTCAGTATGTAAAAAAATCTGCTGGCGGGACATGGGTATATCTTGGAAAGCAGGAATCGAGTGGAAGAGACGGACAGAAGCACCTCAGGACCCGCGACGGTCTCTGCCCCAAGCCCTTGGCCAAACCCATCTTATGGAATCTCCCAGGGACTGACCTGCAGGAATTCGTGGCAATTTCCTTCTTCTCCTCCTTCTTCCCTCTGCTGCAGGCCCGCCCGCCCTGAGGGCAATGGGGAGCTGATACTCAGAAGGGAACAACAACCAGGACAAGAAGGACTTCTGCACACGTCAGCTCTTGGTCACGTGACATCTACGTCATCCACCAACTCGGGTCCCCAATTTCCCCTCCCACCAGCAGTGCGGCAGACAAGGGCCCGCCCCCCTCTTTTCCTTCCCCTATGCCCGGCCTAGTCCCTTCTTTTCTTCCTCTTTGCTATTCCCATTTCTCTGTAATTGTATCTGTCTTCCTCTGACTACCAGAAAGGGACAGTATCTTCCCCTGGGGCTACTGGCTACTTGTACTTTTTTTTTTTTGAAATTTTGCCTCTTCCTTTCTGGACTCCTGGGACAGCAGACTATCCCTCCACTGCCTCTCCTTTCAACTATTGATGTTTACCATTTCCTCTGAAATCTAGTCCTAGATCTGAAATGAGCAAGCCATCAGAAAAGGAGGCCCAGAAGCTAGAGTATGGTTTTGACTTTCTTAATAATTTTGTTGTTGTTTTTAACCTGCTCACACTCCTGCTTCCCAGTCTGCATTCTTTTCATGAGAAAAAAATATGATGAAACTATTTTCATTTGAGTGAGGGAAAGATGGTAGAGTGGGAGATTGATACTGGGGGATGGCCTCCAAAAATTCACATTTTCTTACTTTATGAATAATACTAACCACTTCACTTCAAGCAAGCTTAACGTCTTCTGGGCCCTAGTGCATAACACAAGCCTGAACGAGTTAATCAGTATGTCTGAGAATTTGTAAATATTCTGGCTAGGCCAGTCTTTTCAGTAGAAAAGTTACAGACGTTTGCCTGCAATGAAGAGATACTAAACCCTCAGAAGCCAGAAACACATAAAAGACAGAGCAGAAATCATAACTTCTTGTTGGTATAAAAGAAAGAAGCTTTCACAATCACAAAGTGAATGATCTGTAAAGAACATCATGAAATATACTTGGATACAAATAGAAAACATTATCTTCAAATGAAATAGATATTGGAGAAACACTGGGACTAAGACAAAATTGACTGAACTCGCTGCACCTAGCAATTAGTATAAAACCCTTCCACTGACTGGTTTGATGAGCTCAATGATATGCCTATCATCAATAATTTAACTTTTATTAATGGGAAAAGTAATAAAATAATGTCAGAAAAGGAAGTCTACAGTGGAATATTCCCTAGTAATTTGAATATAAGATATCTCTGTATAACTTTTGAAACCTAAAGAAAATATGGGAGTAAATCCAGAAACTGCTGAATGTGAGAACAGGTAAAGAGCTCCAAGGAAATTCATATCAAGTAATTTCTGGAAGGCAGTACTAGGATATGATTAAAAATTTAGTATTGTTGTTGTTGTTATATGCCGTAGAGTCGGTTCCGACTCATAGCGATCCTGTACAGGGTTTCTGAGGCTGTAAATCTTTACGGGAGCAGAAAGCCTCTTCTTTCTCCCGCGGAACAGCTGGTAGTTTCGAACTGCTGACCTTACAGAAACAAAATCAAGTATTTGATGCTGTGTTTAGAGAAATGTCATGTGAAGGGGCTTGTTTAAGAATAGAAATATGAAAAGGAAAGTCAGAAAGAAATATGGGTAATTTCCATCCCAAGCACTGTCTAAAGGAGAAGTCTTGGCTAAGATGAATGGAACATTTAGTTTTTCTTGCCAGAGTCATTCCCATGATCTGTAAAATGCTTCAAGCTTCCTTAGCTGAAAGCTACTTCCTAAGATGAACCAACTGCCCTTTCTCTAATTGCAAACTCACCAAGCAACCTTTTGAAAATGTGACTTCTCAAGTAATAACTTGATATACATGGAGAGCATAGGCTGATTGACAAAAACCCAGTGACAGTTTTATTTCTCAGGGTAAATTATTCAGCTGATACTCTTGTTGAAACTTAGCTTCCCTCATAGCCTACTTACAGACTAAGAATGCAAAGATCCATGGACTTGAGTATATACAAATTTAGATTTATATGTGTTTCTGTTAATGGCTGTCTTTCCTTGGCAGAAGCATTTGTTCTCAGTGTACAGACAAAACCAGGGGTCAGCTTGAGGACTAAGGTGCACTTGACCCAAGCCACGGTATTTTCAATAACCTCACATGCATGTGAAAGCTGGACCGTAAAATAATTGATGCTTTTGAGTTATGGCGTTGGAGAATATTTGAAGTGCCATGGGTTGCCAAAAGAACCAACAGATCTGTGTTGGAAGAAGTGAAGCCAGAATGCTCCTTGGAGGCCAGGATGGCCCAACTTCATCTCTTATACTTTTGACATACTGACAGGAAGGACCAGTACCTGGAGAAGGATATCATGTTTGGTAAGGTGGAGGGTCAGAGAAAAAGAGGAAGACCCCCAGCGAGATGGATTGGCCAAGTGGCAGCATCAATGAGCTCCAGTGTGGCAATAATTGTGAGGTTAGCCCAGGACCGGGGAGTGTTTTGTTCTGTTGTGCATAGGGTCACTATGAGTCGGTACCGACTCAATGGCACCTAACAACAACAACAATAAGCATGCAACACTGAGGACAAGACCATGAATTGGAGATCCAACCTTGTGGAATCTTTTCAGGGAAGCCAAGTGACCATAAGCACAACCATATGCATCACTTTTTCAAAACGACCTCCCTAATGTTAATGTTGTTACAATACAATCACCTCCCTAATGTTAAATTGCACTACAATGAACATACACTGTGGTTGACAAGCCCCCAGCACTTCAGTCACAGCAAGACAAAAGCTTAATATCCAAAGTAGGTAAAGGGCTCCTACAAATCAACAACAACAACATTTGAAAATAGTTCATGTTTTTTTCTGGGAAGAGAAAGAAGTTCATTTTACATACCTTTCCATTTTCCTCCTCCTACCTGGGCATGAGGCCCAAAGACTCTTACTAAAATTCGAATCTTGAGCAGAGAGATAAAAAACTGAATATCTCTGGAATTATAACATCCTTTCAAGACCATCTATCAATTCCTGCTAGCCAGACCTCTCAGAGCTGACCTTGGTTCTCAACATTCCTTCTTTGTTTCAGTTAACCAGATTTGGGTTATGCTGCTTGTAACCAAAGAATCTTAACTAACATCAATATCACTTTGGAACAATTTAGCCAACCCTTTCTTGCAACAAATTTTTCACCACAATCACCTGGCTTGGTGCACATGTAGCTTTTAAATAACTGAAAAGGCTTTGGGTTTTTTCTTGCACTGTAGTAAAGCTAATAGCCGTATTATGCTGATTTTGATCATCTAGACAAATTATTAATAGTTTTTCCATTTCAATAATTAAACCACTGTGTTGATTAGTAATAATTGTAGTTTTCTTCAGGGCAGAGACTTTGCTCCCTTATTCTCACTTTATGCTTTCAAATTTTTCCCATCACTGACCCATGGTAGCCCAAGACTTTTCCAATGACCTATGGCGCTTCACCTCTTTCCAATCCCTTTATTATTTCCACTTTATTTGCAAATATGATTGTTTGCCTTTTCTTTTATGCATCTGATCTTGCAGCTGATTTGCACTTTGGAGGCATGGTTACAAGGATAAATACCAGGAAATTTTTAACCAAACACAAAGCTACACATTCAACACAGGGTCAATGGCAACAAGTGATCAGACTTAAAAAGAGGGATATCATTCTCCTTCCACCAACCAATTCACCCCTGAAGCCACTCAGTGTTTTTATGGGCATCACAGAGTAGTGTGTGCCTTACTTATTATGAACCATTGTACCTACCTCAAAATTTCAATACAGTAGGTTTAATAGCAGTCATTTCTTAAGTATGAGCTGTAAGTAGGATGTTCTTAAGGGGAGCAGTGAAATTTGAATTTTCTACTAGTAAGTCTTGATAAATACAATTCATTTGCCTAGGGGAAGTGAATAAAGAGTGATGTTAGAGCCGTTTAAGGAAATTATGATGCAACAAATGTGGCAGTATTCTAGGAGAGATAGGGTATGATATTGGTTACTGAGTGTGGATTAGAAAAATTGGGGAAAGACCAAAAAGTAGTGATATGTTTTTGACTTCTGAATATTCACCATCAAAACTGTGGGCTCCCTGACTGGCCTCAGAGTAGGGCCTTCCTCACACAGGGGCCCCTGACAGGGGGAGCTTCCTGCTGGTGTATCATATTTCATTGTTCTAAGAAAGAGACTGCCTGGTAGATCTATATTTAGAGTCTGACTCCCAGCAGGGACAGGTGGATGTCTGGGGATTTGATTCTGCATAAATTGTCTGAGTTCTGGGATTTTTCTGAGGGGCTTATGCTGGTGGTGCAGTGACTCTGGAACAGAAGGCAGGGACTGAAAGGGCTTCTTTCTCTTGAAAACTACATGGAATCCTGTACACTGTCCTTCTATCTGAAGAAAAAAATGACTGGGATATCCAAAGGGTGTTACAGTGAAGCATAGTCACCCATAGACCTTCACTACCATATCCACTGGAAAGTGCTGAACACTGAACTTATTCATGGCAAAACCACATGTTTCAGAATAGAACTGCACTCCACAGGATTCTCAATGGCTGTAATCTTACTGAAGCAGGCTCAGAGTCTCTGGGCGGATCCAAATTACAAATGATTCAATTAGTAATTGGGCACAAACCCTTAACAATACCCAAGGACCTAGCCACTGCTATAGCACACGAGTAACCAATATTGGTGATAACTCACCAAAGCCATGACAGAAAAAAAAAAAAAAAAATTACACCAGCTAAGCTTCAGTTCCATTAGGGAGAAATCAGAGAATTTTCAAATTTGCATGATTTATGCGTTGCACCATGGAACTTCTGAACAGATTTTAAATAAAGACCTTTTCATGGAAAGTAGGCTAATCTACAAAGTCATTAATTTGTAACGTTCTGCATTCACCTGAAGTTTTCTAGACGACGACGAAAACATTTTGCACTGCACTCATAACCTAAAGATTGGTAGTTTGTACCCACCCAGTGGTAAAGTAGAAGAAAGGCCTATCAATCTACTTCTTTTAAGACTGTTTTTGTTAGTTGCTATGGAGTTAATTCCGACTCAGAGTCATTCCTATAGGATTTCTTGGAGTCCTGGTGTGGCGCTCAAGCCCATCAGCCACTCCTAGGAAACTCTATACAGGGTCGCAGTGAGTCGGAACTGACTCGACAGCACTTAACAACAACAAACTTTAGGTGAGTAGATTGCCAGGTTTTTTTCTCCAAGATCTTCTGGGTGGATTCCAATATCCAACCTTTTACTTAGCAGCGAAGAACCAGGGCTCCCTTTCTGTAATTAGGAAAAGGTATTTTCAAACTCCAAGGAGGCAGGGCCACTTTGGGTCTCTGGTATTGTTAAAGAGGAGAAGAATGACAGGGCCCAGTGTACTGGGCGGGAGGTATAGATGGACTGACGCCTGCCGCACTGCTAGTGGGAGTGGAAATTGGGGGCCCAGAGCTCACTGGTGACGTGCTCATCACGTGACTAAGGGCTGCTTAGAGCTGAAGTCCTGCTAGTCGTCTCTGTCTGGGTACCAGCCCCCTTTTATTCTGCGGGCGGGGGTGAAAGACGGAGGAAACTCGCCAGGACCTTGCAGGTCGGTGTGAGAGTGGGCACAGCTTTTAGGGAGATGAGGATGGGAGAGGGCCAAGAACGCCGCAGGTCAGGTTCGTTCTGACCCTCCTAGCATACTTTCTGGATACCCCTCCCCCTTCTTGTCCTCTGCCCATTTTATTGAAGAAAACTGGCGGCTTCCGGTAGGGGTTAGGGTGGGGGATAGGGAGTAGGGGGAGCGTACGGGGTTCTGTAGACTTGAATGAAAGCTTTCTCAAACGGGGCACCAGTGCCCCATGTGATGATTCGTCAACCAAGCAGCCAAGCACTCCGTTCCTTCTGTTTCTTTTCTCTCTGCAGGTTTATAGATCTTTTGGCCTGTAGGTCGCCGCGCCAGTTACGGCAAAGGAAGGGACCAAACTGCCCTGGAACCAAAGAGGTCAGTTTGAAAGTGGGATTAGTCTGGGACCCTGGATGGGGGTGGCGGTAAGAGTGGCGAGTCAGGGATCTGTGCGGGTCAAGTCCAAGTCGCCCTCTCCTGGCCCCTTTTTTCTCCACACCCCCTCCCATTTCAGTGCAAGGAAAGGGGTGTGGCGGCCTTTGCAGGGGAAATGGCGGACGATTAGGGGGGCCAGGAAAACCGGCTTTAGGAAAAGTCAGAAGAGTGTGTGAAAGACTTTAAACTCAGGGTCAAGAATTCAGAAACGCAGGTCTTGGGGCCTGTGTTTTTAGTGCTGATCCATGCACTACACTTTCAGTTCTCCACTGCCACCTTTTGGTCTTTCCATCTGTCCTACGGAACCCGTCCATCTATCCCTCACTGACAGCAGAAGACAAGGGAAGAAGGAAATTACCTGAATTTGAAAGAGGTTGGTGAATGAAACTGCCTGTGGATCTTTAGGGGTAGAGATATGGTGGGCTAGGAAACTGACTACCTAAGGGTTTGCCTCTCCCTCTCATCCTCCTGGACACCTTGGCAGGACTACATCTCTCATTCTTCTCTGTGTCCTTGAAGAGATATGGTGGGCCAAAGGGTTGATTGGGAGCAGGGGAACAGAAAGTAGCAAAGAAATAGTTTGCTAATAAATCACCCTTCTCACCAAGAATCTCCGCTATGTCTGTCAGTTTGGTAAGGCATAAACCCTAGGCCAGAGCCCTAATACGCTTTTTTTTTTTTTTTTTCATCCACAGATTCATCACAAGTGATTAAAGGAGTTTATGAAAGGCTGAAGACTACCACCACTCATTTTGGTCCGAAGAGACCTCTTCATTCAGGCTAAGCAAAGTATTCACTGGTCTTGCCCCAAGACTTCCATAGAATTGAGTATGGGTCGGGCTAGGGAAGTGGGTTGGATGGCAGCAGGACTAATGATTGGGGCTGGTGCCTGCTACTGCGTTTATAAACTGACCATAGGAAGAGAGGACAGTGACAAGTTGGAGGACGAAGAGGAAGAATGGGACCAGGATGAGGAATTTGATGAGGAAGAGTCTGAGGTATGGTTTGATTTCACAACTACTGCTAGGCCCTGGAGTGATGATGAAAACTGGACCGAACCCGGGGCTCCAGGTGGCACTGAAGATAGGAGCTCAGGTGGTGGCAAGGCCAACCGAGCACACCCAACAAAGCAGCGTCCATCCCCGTATGAACATAAAAACAGTTGGAGTGCTCAACATTTTAATAATGTCAGCTGTCTTCTTTACCTTTCTGACAGTCCTTTAATTCAGGTAAAAATGTTTGCTCAGTCCAAGGATGCTGGTTTTTCATGTAGCCACAATATCAGTAGTCATTTAACCTGTCTTTCCACTGTTGGAAACACAATCTCCACTCCAGATCCCACTGTTGAGGAGAAAGCTTTCAGAGAGCTAGGCAACATGAACGTAAGTGCTGAAAATCAGGGCCAGATTAAGATGTACATCAACCAATTGTGTCGCAAGACTGTATCTCTTTGCTGCAACTCCTTTCTGCAGCAGACAGGATTAGATTTGCTAACAAGCATGACAGCAATTAATAACATGCTTGCCAAACCCGTTTCGGACTTGAAGTTTCCTTTGATATCAGAGGGAAATGGATGTGCTAAGGCTCAGGCTTTGAAACTGCTAATGGATTTGTCTGAAAAGCCAGTCTTGGCAGGGGGGTTGCTCAGGGCCCACATGCTGTTGTCATTCATGCCCCTCTTTATTGGAAATGGAAACAGAGAGATTTTCCTGGATGCCCTGGCCTCTTAAATGGTCATCTCAAACAGAAAGAGACTGAATCCGCCCAAAACCAGTTTGATGAACAATCACTAGTGTTCTCACTCAAGGACTCTACAGTGGGTATTGTAGAAGATCCAGCCAATCACCACATCACTGGGTGAAAGTTACAGTTGCTAAATCAGGGACCACACTCTAACTGGCTAGCAGGGGATCCCACAGAGCTTGGAGTCACTTCTCGGTTTTTCAGTCTGCAGGCAATGCCCATTGTAAATCCTTCTTGGGAAGGGCTCATGGAACCTGTCAGTTGTGGGTAAAGAACATCCTATTACAGCATCACAGAGTGATACTGCTGCCTGTGGTGGTCTCCCTGTTTAAGGTGGACTTTCTGGGGAAACCAGACACATAGCAGAGCTTGTGCTGGAAATGCATTTGTTGCTGCTTAGATTGAATTCTCTTTTTAAAATGTATTCTTTCTTTTATGTGAGCTTGTACATTTTCTTCTATTTGAGCTGACTACTCACCAAAAACCTATTCATACACTTCCTTTTTATCATTTATACTGACTTCACCTCACCCACCCAAGTCTTCATTTGTGTATCATCAATAAAGCTGTGTGCTTTGGTTGGTAAAAAAAGAGATATGGTCCTTGTTTTTGAGTTGACAGTCTGCATGAAGAGAAAGACAAAACACACACCAAATGCAAACCAATTGGGGCACTCTCACCAGTGCTCACAAGAGACAGAGATTGAAGTGAGCTGTTGTTGTTAAGTGCCACTGAGTCGGTTCTGACTCATGGTGACCCTGTATAGGGGTTCTGAGGAAAGGCTGGTGAGTTTGAACCACCAATCTTGTGGTATGAACTGACCTTGTTGTCCAGTGTTTATCCTACAGTGCCACACCAGGACTCCAAAGTGAGCTCTAGTGCTCAGTAAATGCTTCAATAAAGGGGAGAAGGGCAGACCTTGGGGAATGAAGATGGGAAAATGGAGAGATCTAAAAAGACAACAGATGGGAAGCAACTGGCACAGTGCCTGAAGTAGAGAAATCCCTCAACCAGGGTGCATGTGCCTCCTTACTTCCTAAACTCTGGGGCTTGTTCCACATTCCAGAATGGGGAGTACCCTGCCACATATCTGTGCTCTCATTATAGCAATAATGGTTGCCATTGGCTGAGCTCCAACTGTGTGTACTTCTTTCTAAATTT